ATTCAATGAAAATGAATTGTTTGGTTATAGAATAAAAATTAACAACATAGTTGATATTTCGATGATGAAACTAGGTCAAGAGGCAGATAAGCTGTCATAAAGGAACCAAGAATATTGTATTGAGTATAAGAAAATAGAGTTAGTGATTTAGTATTGTGTGAGCATAATACATAAGACAATTCTTACTTAGGAAAGAAACTGAAAGCGAGCGATGGAGATCGCGCTATTTCGCTGAGTTTGTGATTTCGGGGTGGAATTCATCCTAAGTGGGGAAAATGGTAACGCTTGTTAATTTGGGCTAGACGTTTTAAAAATATTCATTTTAACGAATAATTAAATCCTCGAATAGGATAAACGTAAGTAAATAAGAATCATTTGTACGCAATACGAGTTATATAAATGATATTTATATATTCGTACATATATATGGAAAAACATAACGGGCTTATAATATATGGAAAAACATAACGGGCTTATAATATTTTTATAAAACGTTATTATAAATTTTACTAATTAAAATAGATAAATGTTTAAAAATAACTAACTATTTAGGATAAATAGTCTTGATTTTTCAAAGTTTAGGTGTGACATGGTACACAAGTGTGCAACACATAAATTGAAATGAAAATCAATGGATTTCAAGCCAAAACAACATAAATGAGAGTTGAATATCTCGTAAATATGAATCCATCGATTTATAGATAGTCGAGAACAGAGCTTGTATGATGGAGTTACGAATTTTGCATGGATTTTAACAATGTAATCTCTATATAGATATGAATTTAAAATAGAGTAGAAATTAGTTGATGAGATGTAAAGGAAAGTTGTAGTACTCGGAAATATCTAGCATGGATATAAAGAATGTCAAAAACAGAGCTCGTACGCGAAAGTTATGCTTTTTTGAAGATTGCGAAAAATACCCGAAAGGCGATGACGTTGCACCATCGGAGGGCATCACGTGGCCAAACCAGAGACTAAGTCTCACTGATGATGTTGCTCCATAAATTTGTGACATGTCGCATGGATGGAGGCGGCAACCGATCATGCGACGTTGACTACTAGAAAGATGACACGAGCGCGCAGTGCTATTTTTGAGCAGATTGCTCCCTATAAATAGCAACCTTCCCTTCACTTGTTCTTTACATGTTTTAGGGTTTATCCTTCTAGAAACCTATTCTCTCTCTAAAAAATTTACTTTTGGGGATCTCTAAGTGTTTGCAACGAGGTTCTACGACAATTGAAATCCCGACAAGATGAAGTATTTGGAGTCGAAGTCCTACCTACGAACTTTTCAACTTTTGTCAAGAAAACTCTTTAAGTTAAGCAACACTTATTATGCTTTAAGTGCAATTTGTATTATTGTAATAATGGTTATTACGAACCTATAAATAAGATTTATCGGTGACTCCATGTCTAGGCTAGATCTAGTGAGATGTTTAAACTGGATTTTCTAAACAGTGTACTATGTATACCAAATGGATCCTACCTCCGATAAGATCTTACCTCGTTGTTCCTTATTTGATAGAACTTGAAGTATTTCTTGGGATTTTTAAAGATTCAAGAAATAATTCATATGCTTAAAAATACGAACGAATATTGAATCATAATAATATTCATATGTAAGTTGTTTAAAAGGGATAAGGTGAAGTATTAGTCGAGGAGCTAGCTGTCCCGAGGATCTTCCAGCTCAATTAGGTAAGTGCATAGTTCCTTTCATGAACATGGATTTAATACAAGTATTTATTAAAAGTATTAAATATATTTTGAAAGCTTATATGTGAATTAAATGTTTATTATCTGGAATATGAGTTAAATGTATATTTGATGGCATACACTGTGCGAACCATATATAGTTATATGTGTTAAGATATATATATATATATATATATATATATATATATATATATATATATATATATATATATATATATATATAAGGATTATTACGGGTATTGTAATCTTGTCTAGTTACATACTAACACCCAGAGGAGATGCTTAGTTCAATTAAGTTTAGATAATGGATAGCATCATATTAACGATATGTGTGAGATGGGTACGTAGCGTAGTACTCTGTTCGATGACATGGATGACCGGTGGGGTACGTTTTATGTATACAAGTACTATATTAGTATTCCCCTCATTATTAGATAGGCAGAAATGGTATGTATTTATCAGGGAGTTGTTAGGTGCCTAGATGACTGGTCATTTGCTGGAGTAGGATGAAGACGACTAACTAAACCAAGTTTTGTGGAATCATTGACAGACTTATTGTATGTAAGTGTTAATGAATTATACTTATCCATATGAATAGGATTGTATGTTCATTCGATGCACTACCCCTCCCCCCCCCCCCACCCACCCCCCTCCCGCCCCTCGTGGTTTCCTTTATTGACTAATGTCTGCTACTAAGGACTCCATGAGCCAGTATAGTCAACTCGTTGCTTATAGCGATCCATCAAGGTAGATCTTATAAGATCATTGTTATAGGATCAACATGTGAGGACCGATGAGATGGGTAACTAAGGGTAAATAAATTATTATAGATGTTTATTGATGTATTGTTGGATAAAAGTTGATGTTGCAGGTAATTGATTGCGGATTACTATAATAATAACATTGTGGGGTTGAAAGCCTTATGTATCTCACCAAGTTTCCAAACCTGAACCATTCAATTTATATACATCACAGGTAACATTTTTAAGACTGCTAAAGATTTGAATATGATGATGAGAGTTTGAAGAGAAGACATGCAATAGTGTTCCAGATCGTTATGCCTTTATACTATAACTTATGTATAGTATTGATTATGTCATCGTTAGTTTGAGACAATCATTTGTACTCAAAATAATTTAATATACTTAGAATTTCCGCAAACCAAGATATTATGATTTTTAAAGCTTAAAGAAAATATTTTTTATTCTGAAAAAATAAGGGATGTCACATGGATTAATACATCTATCTGATTTTTTGTGACGTCGGCCTCATTCTCTAATCCACTTTGGAATTATCATATATCCGTAATTGGAATCTTTCTCTTCGGTCTCCATCTCTTCTTTGTTTCTCTAAGAGAATAAAAGAGTTATACAACGACCCCTACAAACAACATTTGGCTTCAACATTAGATTAAATATTTACATCGTCGGTACCAGATTGAACAATCCCACCATCTCATTGATTTTCTTTATCTATAAGATCATTTTTCATATTAAACTCATTCGCTCTCCCTTCAATCGATTAAACTATAGTCAACATCATTGATAAAGCATAACTAGTTAGACAATATTAACAACGGGAATGATAATCATCAAGTTTAGTGATACCAGATACATTGAACCGGCTAAAAGTGTTCTTGCATTGGTGGATGAATAATGATCATATTTTTTAAACAGGGATTTTGGGTTAGGTATAGTAGTTCTTTTTTTCTTGTTGAGTTGGTGCTTTGTAAACTAACCAATATGAATTGCATTGTATTTCATTCTCATGTATATATTAAAAGGTCAAGATTGATTATTATTTAAGGATAAATCTGATTAACCATGAAAAAAAACAAGTTCTCTCTTAACAAATTTTTTATGTTCACTTAGAAAATCGTCTCAAGTCTTGGATTTTTTATATACATACATCCTTGTACTTTACTATATGTGCTGTTCACAATTTATTGAGATCATGAATTGATTTTCCGATTGCCTTGATTGCTAATAACCAAATTATGTTTCTTCTTGTGAGTTACTTTGTACAATTGAGCAATTAACAGTTAACACACATCTTCTTATATTTCTATTATTTTACTCCTTGGATAGGAAGTATCCGAATAGAGGAAGATAAAAAGTCAAATGTTTTCTTAAGAACAGGGATGAAGACTATTCATGGATTTAATCGTGTTATTGTAAAATAGAGAAAAAAATTGTTGGTTTGTTGGCTAAAAACATATTGACCTTAGTGATAACACCAACATGGGTGCCGGATTAAAGGTGGTCAAGGCTCTAAGTTTCTTAAAAGATGACACTGTGTCGGTAATCATGGAGCTTACAACTAACAGTTATCTTTTGGGTTTTTAATTGAAGATCAATGTTATATACAAAGTAAAAAATTGAAAGTTCAATGGTGTATTAGAAAGAAAAAATATGAAAGTTTAGTGTTGCAATACAATGGATAATTAAAATACATTGCTATTTATTGCTTTTAGAAAAAAATAAAATTATACAATGCTGTAATAGATTCTCAACCCACATGTATATTTCAATGGTGAATTGTCAATTGTTCCAAACCCCGGAACTAATTCTCAAGTATACCTTTTTTATTATTTCTTTGTGTTACACCGAAGATGTTATACTAAAATGTGGAATCAATTATTTTTGTATGGATTAATTCTATTTCTCTATATTTCCATTCTTTACGTCAATTCAATTTTTGTGTATCAAATGCACCCTTAATTGTATAATACGTTATATACTCCCCTTCACGAGTGTATCTTGGTTTAGTATCCCTAAAATCGTGCTAATTTTATGTTCTTAATCTAGTTCATTTCCTCATTTAAAAAGGATAATACATTCTAGTTTTTATTTTTAGTATTTTATACAAAATTTTAATAGGAGAAAACAACACTTGTGAAATACACAATTTTATTTCTAAACCACGACTTGCTAAAAAGCATTTGAAGGTTAGTGACTTTAATTTTCTTCCAATTGTTGGACATCCGGTGCTACTATATATACCGCTTACTCATATAAATCGTCACATGAGAGATACACAAGCATTATTGCATTCATGTGGAAGTGTACACAAAGCAATTAGAGGATACATATAGAATTTCCTTTGGACATCTTGAAAGTTAGAGTGATTGTTTTTCGGTACTTATGTAACAAAATAAAGAAAACTTTTAAAAAACATATTTTACAAACACAATCCCAAAAGAAAAAAACACATATATATATATATATATATATATATATATATATATATATATTATCCTTTTTTATTTTCTATGCATAGAATATATATTAAATTTGCTCTGTGAGATTGGAAGTGGAAGATGGGAGGAGGTGTTGGTGTTGACTTCCATCATGAAACTCATCAATGACAATCTTAGATGGTTTAGAAGAATTCATGTAAATTGAATAAACTGCAAGTTGTGCAAATCCAAGAAAAAATCCAGTCCCATTTGGTACCTAAGGAATAAATGGTTATAAGTGAGAATGATAGATAAAACCACATCAACAAAATAAGAGACATTTTGTATTTTGTATAATGCTATAGAAATGTTTCATTATTTATCATATTAGATCTTTTCAAAGATAATTCACATATTGAAATTAATGTTGACGATGTAACATTGTTAAACATATCGTGCTTTATTTTTGGAATTGATCACTTATACAACAAAATCTATTATTCTTTCATTTTATGTAATAAAAAATAAAACAACTAAGACAACCTTGAGACCATGTAAGATTTATTCATCTTGACATTTGTTAAAATTCAAAGCAAAGCAATTCAAACATATATACACTTAGACAACAATGACCACAATCCAATCAAATAAAATATGGAACTGATATGCACAACTAGATAAAGCTCCAACTTACTAATAATTATGTCATAAACATTTGATCAAAAGTTACAAAAATTTCGTTTTAAGATAGTTACTGTTCCAAGTCACGTATACTTTTCAAGATGAAAAACACTAAGTTAATATTTTTTTAATAAACTTATATTCGTTAGTTTAAAATTTTGTGTACCAAGTACTTAGTTTTTTTTTTTTTAACAAAAGTAGATTAAGGGGCAAGCAAGAAGCTAACTTATACTTTATACACTTACTCCACACTTAATCAAGAACATTAGACTTCGATAACTCGAACGAATACTCAGATTAAGTTTATTATCAATATAAATGAAAGCGTTATGGAACTACTGTAAAGCCACCTAAATTGTCTTTAAATAGCACCATACGAGTAGATTTTAGGAATATGAAAGAAGTTGTTCGAATCCTCTAAAGAGCACACCATTTTAGCATTAAAAGCTTGGGATATCGAAAATCACTACCATGTGAAAATTTACTTCTAAATGTCAAACGCAACATCACATTTGGCATAAATGTTGCTTTTTACCAACATAGACAAATATGTGATTCACAATCGATCCTCTCACTGTGAATGATTAGTAGTTAGCCTTATTTATGCAAGTCTCCGAGAGAGAACATTTTCCTTAATAGGAATCCACGTATTCCATTTGGTATTTTTTAAGCTCAACTATCAAAGTGATTTTGTATGTGGTATTTCTATATGACAACTGTGGAAATGTTGTCCATATATAACATTCAATACCAACTATTTACGATGTTAAAAAGGGATGGGTCATTAACTGAAGATCTAGAGAATAGTTTACAGGTCATCCTAAGTCCTCCATTGATCAAAATGCATTTTCCAAACTGTCTCGAGAAGCAACCATTTAGTCGTTGATTCCTTACGTAAAAAGAAGTGGTTCCTAGTTTCATCACCATTTTTTCTTTCAAATGACATGTTTATGTTAATATTAATTTCTTTAAGGTTGGAAACATAAGCTACACTATTCTTTTAATCACGATTAAAACTATCTCACTTAAGAAAACGTGTATTGTCATGGATTGCATTAATAAAACAACAATTACTTTCCATAAGGAATCTCCAAACCAATTATATAGAATAGATCTACCCAAATGGCATTCCATAACATGGCATCCACGCTACTTTTCCATAACGGCCTTCTTTAGTGAAATCCATATTACGGTTTGATATCATATATATGCTCCCACTCTAATACAATTTCTAACCAATATATTCTCTCTAACAACTTTAAGAACCTTTTATGGACTTTAAAATAGAGAAGAGAAATATCCCCAACATTCCACTAATGAATGTGATATCCAATTATTCACCAAAATTACCATTTCCTAACTCTTTGCAATTGATATCCAATTAGATTATCCAAAAAGATACTTGACAACTGGGAAGATTTACAATTCAAAAGATTGGCCATGTATAGACCTCTCTTTCATTGATCCATATACCAAAATGGTCTTTTTTAATCATTCACCTTATTTCGGAACTATATGGAATCACCTCGATATACAAGCTAAATTCAAAATTTTGGCAGTCGACCACTCACCTACCATAGTAGCATCACCAGCAAAAAAAAAAAAAAAAAAAAAAAAAAAAAAAAAAAAAACACACACACACAAATGTAAAATTCTAGAAGGTCCATCCCTAATATTGAAGATATTATATTATACATTCTTCATTGTATCTTCCAAAGCCATATTCAATCATCCCTCTATAGATAATAAATATATATAAGAAAGGGGACATATGATCCCCTTGGCAGTTGGCATATATAGACCTCTCTTGAGAATGAAATATCTATGGGACACATATTAATATGGACCGAGGATACGACCAACCATGGACACTCTTTTATCCATGAAAAATATAGTAATTGAAACCTATCGAGAGCATACATTTGTGAAGATAATCACAAGAAAGGGATTTATAATACTTTTTTATATATTTTTTTAAAAAATTATTCATTTCTTGTAAGTATATTTAGCCAAATTGAAGATTTCATTTTAAATGAGGGAAAAATCAATTAACTACTAATCTTTAACAAAGGCATTTTTTATTTTACTAAAAAATTGTGTATAACTTTTGTAAACAGGTTTCACAACGCTTTCTATAATTATATTGTAAACAATACTAACAAGATCGATCCCATCATACTTGGTTGTTGTCAAAGGATATTGGAGACTAAGAAGCAATAAATTACTCATTGCAGTCATTTCGGTTGATAATTGTACTTTCAAACTCCTTCACATCCCGTGAGACACATTCTTTCAAGATAGGCCAGAATTTCTCAAAAAATCAATGAAAAACCCATAATTTCCAAGTCATTTTTTGAAGCCCATGCTTTCCAACTTTATCTCGTTTGTTAAAATCTAAGTGTCGAAAACCGTCAATGTCAATTCCAATTTCATAAGGGACTTGAACATTGAACTTAAACTACACTTCAATATCTTAGGTTTCATGATCAAACCATCATCCACCACTATTCCTTTAATAGCTTTATGTATTTACTATTTAGTTCTTGTTCACATACTAATGGAACATTTTGGTGTTTTTATGTCGCTAGAGAATACAATTTTATTTTATTTATTTATTTTGCAAATCAACAGCAGTCAATGATTCCTATGAAGGTACTTTGGAGGTTCAACATCTCTTATTCTTCCTGTGGAAATATGACTACCCAAATTGATAAGTTTTGCTTAGTTCATAGACTATATTGTCTTTCCAACAATTCAGGTCTAAAATAGGTGTATCAAGGTCTAAAAATAGCACCAGGTCAATGGTTGTCTTCAAATCTAAAAAGGGCTTGTTCTTGAAATGTATTTACTCTGATCTTGAAGGACCAAATTAGTCAAATTGGTCAAAACTTTTTGCTTCATTGAACGCATGATTTTTTATCAAAAGGGAGAGAGTTTTGAATCTTTTTTCTTCTTCTTCTTTTTCTTCTTCTTCTTCTTGAACAGCATTCTCTTGGGGTTTTCCCATTTATCACCAACTCATTATAGCTCATTGTAATATCTTTGATCAAGCTCTGTAAATACTGGAATATTTTAATGAATTAGTTATCGGCTTCCTCCACCCGTGGGTTTTCCTAATTTGGGTTTTCCACATAAATCTATGTGTCTTTTTTTATTTACTTTTTGCTTGGTATTTTTCATTGTATGTGATGATTGTGGTTTCATATCTTAGGCCTATTCCGCTTAAACTAATATTGTTATCGTGATTCGGATTTCTGAGTTGTTTGATGCAGTATGTCTTTTTCGTTTTAGTGCATCTTACCCTCCTTGTTTACTACAATTTGTATTAGAGCTTTCGGGTTTTAATATTAGTTTATTAGGATCATTTTCTCAAGTGATTGATCATGTCTTTGATGAAGTATGATATTTCGTTGTTGGATCGAAACACCATATTTCCCTTGTAGCAAGTTAAGATGAATGATGTTCTTATTCAGATGGATTTACACAAGGCGCTTATGGGTTCCGAGAAGATGCCCGCTTCGTGGATGGAAAAAAGAAAAAGAGACGAAAGATTTAAAAGCTCAATCCTAGATTTTTTTTGCATTTGTCAAATGATGTTTTGCAAGGTGTTTTGAAAGAAACTTCCGAGCTAATTTATGTTTAAAATTGGAGCAATTGTTGATGACGAAGTGCCTACCAAACAAGTTGCATTTAAAGCAACGGTTGTTCAATCTTAAAATGATTGAAGGAGGTTCTTTAGCCGAACATTTATCCACATTCAAAGAGTTAGTAAGTAACTTAGAGAATATGGATGTTCAGTATGAAGATGAAGATTTAGCTTGATTCTTTTTGTCGTCGTTGCCCGAATCCTACATCCATTTTCATGATACTATCATCTATAGTCATGACACTCTTGTCTTAGATGATGTTTTTACAACTTTGGATTTAAAAGAGAAGATGAAGCATATTACTGGTAGTGGTTCAAGTGATGCAAATGTCAAAGGTTAAAATACCCAAGGAAGAACAACATATAGAGGTAAAAATCATCAATCTTCCGTCAAGACTAGATCCAAGTCTAAAAGCAAACAAAGTTTTGTAATTACTGTAACAAGAAGGGACACACGATTGAGGAACGCTTCAATTTGACAAATAAAGAGAAAAAACAACAAATGGTAAAGAAGCTATCACTTCGGGTGAAGTTGATGTAGCAGAGGTCGGTTGTATTGGAGAAATTCTCACAGTTTATTCAGATAAACTTGATTATAGTAGTGAATGGATACTCGATTCTGTTTGTACTTTTTATATGTGTCACAATAGAAGTTGGTTTTACATTTTTGAAAATGTTAACCAAGGCTATATTTTGATGGGTGACAACTCTATATGTCTAGTTGTTGGACATGGGTCAATCAGAATCTGTATGTTTGACGGGGTTATTAGAACCATTGGGGAACGTAGATATGTTCCTGACCTCAAAAGAAACTTATTATCTCTTAGCTCCTTTGATAAAATGGATATGAGTTTGCTGGTAAAGGTGGAGTTCTCAGGGTATTCAAAGATGGTTCTAACAAACTGAGAGCCAAGCGCAAAACCTCAAATCTCTACTTTCTTGACGTAAAA